TGGTGAGGAGGGAGAAATGGCATACTATCCAACTTTACTATTTACTGTCACTAAACTTTATTAATGCAATGCTATGATTATTATTTTATAGGCACTACAACATGATAGCCATGAGAACAGAACATGGGACTGTAAAGAGGATGCTATAGACAGTGGATGACAGGCAATCTGCTTCAAGAGCCCTTTTCAGACATTATATCTATATGTCTGTAAGCCTAGCAACCGCATGTATCAAGAGCATGTGCTACCCACTATGCTCCCATTCTGTGTGGTCAGCATGTTGTCTGAACAGGGGCAACAGGGTGTTTTGATGTACAGCTTTGAGTAATGTGCTCTCTCTTGTTATGAACCATATAGCTTTCATTAAAAGCTAAACAGGTTTTTATCATGTTGTCTTTTTTTAACAATTTGTGTCCTCCTCTTACTACCACTTCTTTCCTTTTTCACTCACTTGTGGGAAACACAGTCCTCATTGGCAAACCACAGAACCTCTAAATGAGCAAACTTCTCAGTGCACATAGGGGAAAAGTCTACAATCAGGAGGACACAGCCATTGCCTTATTGTGGCCTGTATAACCTTCTTGTGTTAGTAATATTTTGCTTGCTCAGCTTCTGACTGATGACCCAAACTCTTGAATTTGCATCCACTTTTGTAGGAGAGAAGTTGCAAAGGTAATGCCTGGTTTAGTTATGGCAATGGCAGGACAGAGGAACTTCCCCACGTGACCACATGCTTATACGACCACTGTCACTACATATGCCTACCAGATAGCCTCCAGATATTTTCTACCAATCTCACATAGTGTGGACATAATTTCAGAGAAGTAAGCATAGTAATCCATTGCAGCAAAATGGAACAGAAAGGGCACCTTAATCATTTGCAAAGTTTACTCCAAAGCAAGGTTTCATGACTCAGACCTCACTCTGAGTCACTGCTATCTTGATGTGGTTTTTCTATTTTCCCTGCCACTAAAGAATGCTTCAGAGCAAGTGCACATATGAAAACACATCGCCATTTCCTCTTTCACTTAGTGACATCTCATCTAGCTCTCAAATACTATTTAAAAGCCTACTATATTTACGGGAATTCATTCAAATGTAATTTGTTCAATCACATCTCAGCTTCAGCCCCTAAATCTCATATTGAACCTCCTGCCACCTGTGTAATTTACTAAAATGCCCCCCCCCTTTGGTGGCCAGATAACTCTCCCAATCCCATTTAGTTCCCAATAAGGGTTTGGTTATCCTTTTCCCCCTACAACTCCAAAGCATTCACATAAACTTATCTCTACACTGATACTAGTTTAGAAAATTGCTTTAAAGTCCGAATGAAAAACCTTTTTGGTCCTGATATTTTCCTCTATCGTCTCTTTGCAGAGGATGAATTCCTGCATACCTGGTTCTGCAGAGAAGCACATGATTTGTTTCAGCAAGGATGGTATTATAGTCAGGTACTATTGCACAAGGATAAGGATAACAAAGTCTTGCCCCCTGAATTCTACTGTTTATGTCAACAACACATAATGGATTGCAGGCTAGAAAAAACAAGATACAACTTAGAAATTAGAATAGTTTCTGCTGCAGCCAATTCCTCCATTTGGCTGTTATTCACAATGCCAGCTATACATTAGGACTTAGACTTTATTAAACATGTTTTATACATAGGAATCCTCTAAACCACCATGTTCTCCACGTGTAAAACCTGATTTTTTTCCCCATGAAAATATTCTAGTATGTGAGCTCACACCTGCAATCCAAAGCTGTAAAACCCTGACACAGGTTTATTGCCCCCCCCCCCAGTCGGAATAACGAGACAGACAACAGTTTGGAAGTAAACAAGGGCCACTTTATTAACTATTTAACATAACATTGCGGCAAGGGACCATCTAAGTGAGCATGGAGCAGGCAAGGCAGGTGTCACTCCCTGACCAGCCTCCTTGCCCTTTTCACAGGCGGGTCACCCAACTCCAGTCTTGTCTGGCTCGCAATTGGCAGCCCAGCATACCTGGTTGCCACCTAGGAATGCCTACCTCTGAAGCCTTACAACTTGCAGAGTTGAAGCTTTCCCTAAGAGGTTCCCAGAGGTGATCACCATTCCCCACCCTGGACCCTAAAATCCAAAGGTAGTTCTTGATGACCTCCTGTTCCCTAATGGGGAAAATACTGTAAGGTGCTCACCGGTTCCAGTTTCTTGCCTGCACAAACCTCCCAAGTGACCAGCCTATTTACGTGTCGACCACCACAAACAACTATCCAATCCACTGCTCTCAGTGCAAGATAGGTAAAAACACCTCCACTCCTTCAGCCAATCCTGGGTAGAGGCAAAAACTTCCTACCTGGCCCCAATAGGCGACCAGCCATAGATTACACTAAGAACAGGGCAGGAGGGTGGGCAAGCACGCGAAACAACTGACATTGGGTGGGAGCAGAGCCCAACCTTTCAGCAGAGCCAGCTCCACCCCCTACCCACATCATGATGCACAGTGTCACGGCTCTGTTCCTGCCCTGGCTTCCTCCAGGGTGGCAAAACAGCCACTGGATCTCCAGCGGCCTTGCTGGAAGGCAAGGAGCTCCACTACCTCCGCACAACATACATCAATGTTTTCTCTGAGTCTGGGCAAGTTCCTTCCAGGACTCTCAAGAGTATGTCTGAAAATGAATTTCAAGGAGGTGTATAATAAGAACACAAAGTGACCCTCCAAATGTATTGGTTGGGTATGGTGCCTCAGGCTGACAGTAGGAATCTAACCACAACCTTTAAACTGTAAACTGGTTATACTAAATAGCACATAAGTCCAAGGACATGGGTGGCAGAAGTAGTATATTAACCGTGTGTGTGTGTGTATCTTCAGTTAAGATGGTTGATTGATGCACAAATATTACCTTACATAGAAGCCTTTTCAAACATTTAGTGTGCATACATTCAATTTGCTTCAGTATATACATGCACTGAAAACTGTACATGTCCATGGAGCATTCTTGAAGCCATTTGTGTTTTCATTCTGTGCCTGTGCATTAGTATGTACAATCAATATGGATTTTTCAGCTACATCTATGTAATACAGAGGTCATTATGGCACCAACATTTTAGAAACCTGTTATAAAGTGTAACTTCTCTGCTATTGGTTACATTTGTTTAGTGCATTTCTGTTTTGTTTTGGGTGTCCCCCCCCCCCCCCGGTAAATACCTGATGCTTATGTAATTTTCTATGGACCATATGTATGTAACCCACAAATACTATTATCACAGTCTAATACAGAGTTAGATACACATGGACAAATGATTTCAATTCCATACAGAATTATGTGTTGACTACGGCCGAAGACAGACTGGCAGTTTGAAGCGTGAGGTTGTCGTGGCAAAAAGATCCGGCACAAACTGTTCCGGGTTTTCACGGTCACACTGCACCGACTGATACGGGAGCATACTGGGGAGGAGGCGCAAGGGAGCGTTTGCACTGTTGGCACGCCCCTGGTGAAGGTGCGGCTGTAAGGCGTGGCTTTCTTTTAAGTAATCCGGAGATACGCGCATAAGCGCACAAGTAAATTGCAGCTTTCAGTGTTCACACTTTGTTGGTGCGGGATGAACGCACTCGCCAGGGTTTGCTACCACTTTCACCAGGTACTTTTTAAACTCGGGAGGGAAGCGTTACAAGATGGGTTGAGTACGGCTGGGGAACGCCGGACAGCTGTGCCTGTGTGAACCGGCCCTTTAATCCGTTTGTGAAACGTTTCTGGCATGTGCCTATATCAGGGCAAACTGCCAGTCTGAACTCAGCCTATAAATTTCTGAAGTGTAACAGCAAGCATATAACAGCAAATGCACTGGGATCCTACCACTGCACTAAGCAAAGTTTATTTATTTAAATATTTATACTCTTCCTTTTCTTTTGGCTCAAGCTTGAAGTCTTCTTCCAGTTTGAGTGGCCGTTTCATTGGAGGAAGAACCACTTAAGTTGGAGAATGGCTATGTAGAGGATGGTTGGATCCTCTACAAAACATAGTGGGCTTGACACCAAAAAATAGTCATTCTGGAAAAAGTTCATTATTAGGTACAGATGCCAGATGCACCAGCAACTGGTACACATTGGGGTGTGGGGACTGCCATTTTTAAACTGGTCTTTGGTTGTTCCTTGTGCATGTTTTTATTTAAACTTGGCAGTAACGCTTGTCAAAAGACAAATGCATATTTACATATACTCACATGACTGAACTGAATTAGAATGACAAAAATTGGATACTTTGTTTTAATTACAAGGCTAGTGTGCTATAACAGGGTGCCTATGAAAAAAGAATTAAGCACAATACACCAAAAGGCTTTTTGTTTACCAGCACTAATCATTAGATGTAGCTGAGAGAATGATACCTCTCTATATGCTCTGTGAAAGTCCTAAATTAACATTAGAAAGCTATTTTCACCCATAATGTTTTCGGTTTCATTTTATCTGTTTGAGAATGAGGCTCCTCATTTGCATCATAGATAAAGTTGCTCATCCCCCCCCCCCTTCAGTTATGTGAGAGAACAGATTAGTCCTAGCCTGGAAATTTAAAAATAAAATAAAATTCTAGGCTGTTAGAGAGTTGAGAACTCTTTATTATAAAAGTGAAACATTGCAACAAAATGTTCAATTAGTTACTTGAAACTATCATTTGGATAAAGTTTCACCTTAGAGTTTGAATCATAACAATTCATTCTGGAGGTGAGGAGAAACCCATTGGAATATCGAAACCTTTTGTCTTTATACACTCTTGTGCAAAGAATAGTGAATGCCAGACACAAATGGTGCCGGGTGCTTATATGTAGGAAAACATGCTTGCCATGAGAGTACAAAAATAAAATTTATTTGTTAAATTACACATAAATATAAGGTACAAATGTATTTTTAAAATACAGTTAAAGATAATCACACTTGCATTGTGTACATATGAAAATACAGTATTTTAATATTCAACATACACAGACACATTTATGATAAATGCAACTATTTGGCAATGCCAGTTCTTGTCATTCTGGGTTTCTTTCCCTCAGTTTCCCATAAATATGGAAAATTAATATGCTATGAAACAAAACCCTCTAGTTCTGCCGGACATCTTGTAGAAGCTTGTTAATTTCTGCCACCAGCTCGCTGGCATCCATGAGTTCATGTTTCCCATCGTTGAGGTGATTAAGCACATTGTCAAAGTCATCTTCTTCATAATTCTCTGGAATTTCCTCCATGGCAGGCAACCATTTAGAAGATGGCTGAGCCCCTGCATGAGTCCCCAAAGTTAGCCCAGTACTGTTTGCAGGATTTTGGAAATGGGTACTGGCTGCCCACGCTGCTACCCCTTGTGGGTAACTTACAGTCTTGGCAGACAAATGTCCTTTCCTGCGCTCTAAGGAGCTGGGAGGATCCATTTCATTGCATTCTGTGTAGGCATCTAAGGAAGGAGGCAATAAACGCTGGAAAACACTGTTCATTTCGGAAAGCAGGGAGGAGGTGCAGAGGTCACTTGATTCCTCCTCATTCTGACTATCTTTGCCAAAGGTCGAGAAACTCTTTTTCTTTTCAGATGAGTCAACAGGCTGAGAATCATCTTCCAGGACCTGCTGCTGCTGGGGCTGGCTTTGCTGGGGCTGAAATTCTTCTCCAGGGATGAACATATTACTTCTATAATCAGAAGATGGAGAGGG